GTTGAAAATATAAGCACAAAAAAGCTGAAATATAATTCTAAAATAGAATTTTTGAACACACTATACAGTTAAAAATGAGACAGTTTTCTCTAAAACTTCCGTTGAAATTATATTCAGGAGTGTGCGTGGGTGGGGGGTTATTTTACTTAATCATGCTCTTCAAAACGCAAAAAAGGTATATAGGCTAATTATTTGTTCTATATATTTGCACAAATAAGACCACTAAATCTTAACATAAAATTACTATGTAGCAAAATAATTATGATAGTCTAGGAAATTGCAACTTAACATCTCTGGAGATTAACAAGTTTAAAAACTGATCCCAAAATTCTAAAACCAGCTAAGTGCTGTAGATTATCCGTGTATAAATATATGCTTATTTTTTTAAAAACGTTTTAATTTTTTTTTGTAGCGTAACATACATATTTTAAGACGTACCGTCAAGTTACTACCAACCAACACAATCAAAACGCATATATATCAAAATGAACTATATTTAGCAACGCGAAAATCAGACTGAAATGCTCTTTACGAATGGTTCAAAGTCTGTATTTTATAATGCAACTAATCTTTGAATTGTCTATGTCGAGTTTCAAAAAACGTATAGTTTACATATATAAAATGTTTACTTTCTTATTTGTTGGTTATTAAATGTTTGTGCATGCTGATGTAAATTTTAGACATTTTCTTAACTTTCCTATGATTTTGATTCATGACATGATTTTTCCTTTTTCTACGTTTTCTCAAAGTTCATATCAAAATCATGGCAAACTGAACATTAACTACCATTCATCTTACGTTACTTCCGTATTTTAATCATAAAATATATTACTCACTCTCGAAATTTAACTGTTCGAACACAGTTGAAGAGTTAAGAATACAACCCATACCTATATATCAATTTCACATCTTACCTGTGATGTATACGTGTCTGTTTCCTACAGTCAATAATTTATAGCAATGATACGAAACTTTCCTCTTTTTTTGCTGCACATTGTACAAATATGTTATATTATCGCAGAACATGTTTTTCTTCAAAACTGTTGGCAGCTTTTGTCATCTAGCACACATTCTTATTCCTTTTAGCGAATTTACCCAAAGATTTAATATAGGAATAGCTGCAGTAAATACTTCATTACTTAAATCAGTTTTGTGACCAAACGTAGACTAGTTTTATTAAGTGACACCAGGTTTTGTTTTTGATTTAATGGCTGAAGAAATGCTTTATGTATTATTTTATCTGAGTTTAACCTTAAAATTATTTCTTAAATTGTACTATAATATAAACTATCAAGAAAATAAATTTTAAGAAAACAAAAATGTAAAACAGTAAAAAATTCTTACATCAAGAGATTATATAATAATAATAATATATATACATATATATACACTAACAGAATTTTGCCAGTTTTAAGAAAACACATCATATCATAAGAACGAACCTTTTCACCACTTTCAAACAATTACACAATTATGGCAGTTTTACAAATGAAAAAAAAAATCATTTGCTTATAATTTACTAAATTCACATTATATTAACTTAAAACATCTTGTGCTTCATTTTTCACCCTAAATTAAAAAAAGAAAAGTACTGTACATTATGTAGTACAAAAATTAATCACTTAAAAATATTAAACTACAGTGTATTTTATCATACATAAACTCAATTTTAAAATTCCTTCAGTCTTTGTTTTTTTAAAAAATTAAAACAAAAAAACATGCTTTTAATTATGAACCTTTGAAAAAATCTTGATCTTAACCCACAACAATACAGAAATGTCTTAAAGCAAGGATCAATTAGAAAAACATCAGCACTATTAAAGATTCAAAATTGGTATGGTAGATTGTAAACTAATCAGGTCACTCAAAAAAATACAACATTTTACTTATGTTGTTTCTTTTTAAAATAATCTATGAATAAAATTATCAATTCCATTTAAGTAGTGGTTTAACTTCAAAATTTTTCAACTGATAACTGAGTACTCTGCATGCATTAAAAAAGTAAACCTAACGATATTAATCACTAAAATACTAAAAGCTAAGCTTACTTTACTTCTTGCTTAATAGAATTTACTGATTATAAGCTGACTACATTAGGCTGATGGATACCATCTTGGTCAAAGAAGAAAAGAATAATAAGCCCATTACCTTAAAGAAGTATAGCAAGTTAATTTAAAATAATGTTTTCTTAAAAGCTGGCAGATTTGTTCAGTACCATACTTCTACACACACGTAATGCTTTTTGAAATAGGTGTCTTACATAAAATTTCTAAAAAGCAAAACCTCACAAATTATTAAATATAAATTTGTTGTCTTTGTATTTGTAACACATCATTCTAAATGTCACTATCAACTTCAGCTTATCAGGAAGTTTTAAATTTTCTAGAAAAATTTACAATTTCCATATAAAAACTTTTTTTTTCATAATTTTCTAATACCAATTCATTCTACATATGATGGTCAGTGGATACAGTTTTAAAAATTTTATTTGAAAATATTTTCATGGGTATGATGTGGCCTATGCTCTGTTTTTTTATTAATGAGGCAGTGATTGTTAATTTCATCACAGAGTTGTTAGTTACAGTAACAATACCTCAATAACCAGTTTACCATATCTTGAAAACACTACCAACTTTATCACAAAGGGAGGCTGGAGAGAAAAAAAAGATTCAGTCTTTAACTTGTTCTAAATTTTACAGACATCAACATCACTGTTTTCTTCAATTTCTTGTTTTAACTCTAGTGGTTTCTTGATATTCATCTGTTTATCTTCTGTTGTTGAGCTGACATGTTCTTGTTGCTCTCTGTCGGTGTGATGTGTACTGACATTTAGTAGGTTTAACTTATTTGGATTTCGACAACCTCGACACCGACAATCCACACAAGGTTTATTATCCACATAACATGGGCATCTTTGCCCACAGCAAGTTAATTTACCTGGGTTTAAGGTAGCAAGACCACATCTACAACCCTGTTTGTTCTTGGTCTTGTATGTTTTTTGCTGGATACTGGATGAGGATGTCACTTTATAAACAACTGTTGTTAATGGAACAGGTTGCACTTCACTTTCACCATCTCCTAACCTTGCATGTTTGCTAGATGTATCAAATATATCATTCTCATCAATATCCATGATAGTTGTTGTCTGTCTCTTCCCTAAATTCGTCAATTCTTCTGAAATGTATAATGAATTTTCTGTTGAGGTTTCTGTAGTTCTGCTATCTATACTGGCTGAGCTGTAAAGAACTGCAACCCCATCAGCATTATTAGATGTAGTGTCTTCACCATTCAAATGAGAGAAATTACTGAAATTTGTCTTATCACAAACATCTGCCCTTGCATTTGTATTTATGTTGAGGGGTTTTTTAATGACTGAAGGATTTTTTCCAAGTTCAATATCTGCCTTGACCGATCTGAATTTACTGGTAATAGAACGTGATGTTCCAGACTGATTGTTTCCTTGACTTAAATCATCTTCGAATTCCGCACCTTCTTGAATTAAATCACAAAAATTAACGGCCGTTCCACCGTTCAAGCTGCCCCACTTCTGATGCAGAGTAGTAGTGATCATATATTCACACAGTTTTTTATACAACTGCAATACAATACGGAGACTTATGTTTTCTCTAAACTTACTGAAATCTTTGCACCAACTACAAGACGGTTTGAGGCGCATTTTCTTGCCTAAGCACATGCGGCAAACATGGTGTTGACAGTTCGAGAAAGTGGGCGACAATGGGCATTTAAGTAGCTGTCCACACACACAACATGTCAGTGCCTCACGAAGGTACGACAACAACCGGTAGACATTTGCCCATGCGCCTGCGTCGTCTGGATTTGACTGAAATATTGTACGACATGTGGTAACATATAAGCTCAAAGCCTTCATTCTTACCTAACATTCCTGTCTCGAAAAAAGAAGTTTACACACTTTTTGATCACCTTAAAAATATCAAAAACTGTAAATTTCTTAATGACACTCTTACAAGATCAATCAACAATGAACAGGCCTCAAAGAAAGTTAAGCCATAGCGTCTTTGACGTCATACAGTTGTTTAATTGTTCAACTTCGCCATCTACTTACTTTACAAGCGTCATGTAAAAAAAAATAAAAAGAGAGAGAGAAAGAAATGAAGGAAGAAAACGCATATTTCATGATTAAAAATAGTTTGTATTTTTTTCTTAAAATGGCTTTAACCAAGACACTTGTAATTTAGTGTAAGAACAAACGTTGGGTCAACGTAAAAATGGCAAAAACAATATTCCCAAACATTGCCAAATGAAAAGAAAAAAAAAAACTATGGGGTTTTGAGTCTGTTTTACTTCGCCATATAATAAACGAAATTTAAGTATGTGTGTATGTCAGGCTAATGAAATTATATTTAGAAATTTATTTTTAATTAAATTATAAAAACCACTTTAATTTAACTATTATTTTTATTAAAATGCTGGTATTATATGACATGCGGTTTGTGTTTTTGGTATATTCAATATTGGACTATTGCTAGAAAATAAAGCAAATCAGACTAAGATAAAAACGATAAGTAGTTAAACACTACTCATGCACTAATAATTTTTTCAAAACGTGTATTAGTAATAGCAAGAAATAATATATTCCTGAAATTAAATTATTTTCATAACCCACCAACTGCTATACTTTTGTTTGTATTTGAATAGAGATGTATAATGGGGTATCTGCGCTATGTTCATTACAGAGATCGAACTCCGAATTTTAACTTCATTAAACCTCAAACTCACTACTGAAATATTGGAGACCTACTGCTATACTGCAACCGTGTTTAGGCATTTTGTTTACTCCTAAAGACATTTTACACTTAAAAACATGCTATATCATTAGCAAAAAACTTAAGCTCGAGCAATTAACGAAGGTCTGGAAAATTAAGATGGTATTGTAATGAAAGTTTTTTCATACGTTATAATAGTCAATCAGCTAACGAAATATATATTTTAAGTGTTTCTACAGTGAATTGAAAGAATAAATGTTGCTTAGTATTTTGCTTATGAAATTTACACATTAACGTAGAAGAAGCAATTTCCAAAATCTAAAAAAAGAAAAGAAAAAAATTACTAGTGTCATCATTATAGTTTAGGCAAGTGAACATTTCTTGCTGACATACAATTTTCAAAGATTTTCACATATACGTGCCTATAATGTTTACCCCTGAAGAAGAAAGGTCCACCTTTCGAAAGCGCTCTGGTTATAGGCTCTCGTATTTTTTATATTTTAACGATATATATCGATTCTGGAATGTAGATAATATATAATTACATTGTTTGCTTATTTTTATGTGTCATCCTCCTTCGATGTCACTCAAACCTTTCCCATGGAAAAGGTTGTGTAGGATTTTGAGACATATCCAACCTATTTCATCTCGTGGGATGACAAATAACGTTAGTAAACCATGCACTCTGGGAGAAGTGATGCTATTGTGTTTTATATATAATCATGGTACTCTCCAAGTCTTAATCAGATTTTCTCAGGGATCTTCTTCAGATCGTCACCACGCCTATCTTCTCAGTAAGAACTCTATTCTGTTCATAAGTATTGTGCATTTATCACCTTGATTGTTTTAGTTGTAAAAATTTATTTTCACTTTGCTTTAATGTGAATAGATTCTTTGTCGAGTTTCTTCATTTTCAGTCAAAGTCAGAAATTCTTCTTCAATTCCATATGACATTTCCTTCCGTACCTGCAGCTATTACAGTTACTATTCTTATCTCAATGCATCTAAAAAACAAGGTGGTATGATTAAAAGTTGGTGTCGTGACCACAAGATTTGTTTTTGTGATTTTTTTTTTTTTGCTTTTCTTGACAGGTACACTTATTTCCGCACTTTTATGTGGCGTAAGTTTAAAATACTTTTGTGAAAAATGTCACTTTTAACAAGTTGAGGGACTTATAAATAAGAATAAAATTCGTCACTGAGGATAAGAGGTTGTCCAAGAGACTAGCAAAGTGTATGGGAAGTCCTCTCCTGAACATAGGACTTTTTTCATTGCTGTAAAGGTCCATAACTACAATCTCAATATAGTCACCATAATATCAAGAAGGAATCACAATTTGAAATTTTCAAAGATGCTGTAAAAGTATTACACCTTGTGGTTAGATTCTGTGCATGAATCACGGACAAATGATGGTCATTAAGGTGACTTTCAAGTTGGTGGTCTTGATATTAAGAAAACATTGACATTCTCTATAGGTTTGTTTGTTTTTGGATATTCACATCGTTATACAACAGAGATCTATGTTAACTATTCCTGATTTGGAATTTATAGTCTAGAAGGAAGGTAACTAGTTAACAGTACTCACACCAACTCTACTCTCATTAAGTATATTATAATGGGATTTGATCATTACTTTTATAATGCACCCAAAGTCCCAAAATGCAGATCATTATTTTACAGCAATGGAATCCAAATCGTGGTCCTTTAGGTTCACAGTTGGGCATGCTAACCACTAGACCATGCCTGTCCTGTCTCTATAGAACATACGACTATAACTGATTAGGGCAACCTAACACAACTGATCATTGTCACCCATGGAGACTGGAAGCGCTTCTAATGCATGACATCTAACAGTCAGAGTGGAGATGGTTATTCTTGGGACAAAGGTAAGCCTCTCTGTGATAGAAGATGTGTTACCAGAATCAACATGGTTCATGCAGAACCTGAAGACAAGTTGCCCTAGGCAACTCACCATTTTGTCGCCCAGAAGTAGGGATCCAACATTTGTCAAAACATGAGGGTCCCAGGGCATCAACAAGATTACCTATGCCATCATGGGTTTCTCAGCCTAGTGATGACTGAGACTCTTCTAGATATATTGTGTTTTTACAGTCACAGGTCTCTATTGGTAAAACCTGAACTGCTTCCTTAAACCTTTCAAGCAAAGGCTGGACTTAGATGCTGAGTCTGGAAAGTCCAGTACTTACTTCACTTAAGCATTTGGTTAACCAGGAAGAAAATGGCACAATTTTTCTGGCTGTTCAAGAGAAGCTAAACAAGGAAATGCTAATTGAGGAGTAGCATAATTTTTTCCAATTATTGGTTGAGACCAAAAACCATTGCAATGCATACATTTTGAACAATTGAGCAGTTTCAACGAGAGATGCACATACTATATCGTGTTACAGATGTCCAGTTATTACACAGTAAAAACAGCTGATATTAGTAGATATAACACCTAGAACATCAACACTTTGTACGACTGGACATGATCGCTCGAATTTCAAACCATTTGTAAGCTGATAGGGCATTGTAACCTTTGCTTTCCGGGCGATTATATGATTTTTGGTAGCAAGATGTGTGTTCTGTAATTACTTGCACTGTTGAGTCAAGTACCGTGGGATTTTCTGTGGGATATTTTCCCTGTATGAATAATTGGGATGACTAATGTTATTACGTGTAATATCTAGAATATTTAAATTTGGGAAGACTGAAATTATCGTTAGGATTTCTAAAACATCTGAATGGTGAAAGGACTTTACAATTCTTGCTATCCAAGCACTCTGGTACAATTTTGCAGTGCATTTTAGTAAAATGATCTTACAAAAAAACCACCCGAAATCACTCGTGTGTATGCAAATGCAAAGATTGAATAGTCTTTATATAGAAATATCTGGGAAACCTGTACATAACTTCATATGTGTAGCGAGGAAGTTGCACTTTTAATCAGCACAGAATATCAATCAGGCTGTGATACTTCCTAGTGAAAAAATTATTGTTTCACCAGATCTAGCCTATAGTTATTTGTGTGATGCCAACTTAAGTGAATTGACTCACGGTTAGCAGTACAAAATCATGATAATTTGATCACTGGTGTTTATGATTGTCTAGGACAGTTAATATATTTTAACTGTTCAATATTATATTTAACCTGTGCCAATCTGTAGTGAACTGCATGAATATTAGTTCTAACAAAAGAACTTAGCTCAAAAGCCTTAGTATAGTTGAATTCTGCTTGCGATTTATTTCATTATATTAAGAGAGTCCAGTTTACTAGTAGTATGGTAGTACAGCTATTGAGGATACACACATTAGAAGCACATACCATGAAATGTGACGCTGATACATACATATTGATATATACAGGAAAATATAGGCGTATGAACACAGTCGTATGTTATATTGTACGCATAAGCAACCATTACTTCAAATAGTTCATGGATCTTTTATACACAATGCGCAACAGCTTGATTAAAAATGAAGGATTTGAGGTGAAACGTAACAAGTTGATATATGAGGTGAATAGTAATTACTGACTTATGTTGTATCACTGGAAAATACTCGCTCAGTTAAAATTCATTTTATATATAGACTTAAAATAAAGCCCAAAACTCGAGCGCTTTCTACTAGTTGACCATTCTTCTTTTTTTGTTCTCCTGAAGAAGAATAGTCAACTATCCGAAAGCGCTCGAGTTTTGGGTCTTATTTTAAGTCTATTACAGTTTATATGTGATCCTTTGTGGTAACCCTTTTATCAAAAACAGTTTATATACATATACCATCTGCTGCTATTCTTCCTCCTATTGCAGTTACTGTTCTTACCTATCGGGTTAATCAATGCACCTGAAAATACAACAGAAGTACATTAAGGACGTTGTTCAAATTCTTCTTAAATTGTATGTAGGATGTAAGGTACATGTCAAATCTCATTGTATAATGCTGAATGCAAATAGTACTCTACTGCAAGAATACTCTTGAAACAAGTAAAATATGCAGGGCTTTATGGGACAGAGCATATATGGCTATTTTAGCAAGGCTCCAACTTTGTTAGCTTTTGGAAACAGCTTACTGGCCATTGACTACGGTCATTTTATATACGTGCAACTTATTATACCAATGCCTTGTTACTACAGCAGTGTGCTGGCTCCATTAGGTAGCTTAAACTGATGCGACCACTTTAAAAGCAGTGACCTTGGCTTCTAAGCTGAAAGTTATTTAACCTGTCCATTCACAACCTGCATTCTGACACAAGTTAAATATAATCTGCATAAACAAGTAAAATCATGCC